CACAAAGAAAAAGTTTGGGAACCGCTGCTATCCACGGACAACGCATACCATGGAGATGACATTAATGAATAATTGTTTCACTAACATTATATCAATCATTGTCAAATAATTTTTACCGGTGGAAAAAATATAAGTTAAAAATTGTTTCAAAAAAAAAAAAATTATCTCGCAATACAATATTTTGAATAGACGATACCAACGCCTGCAAAGTGTGACAAATTCGAGCGAGTTTTATTTGCGATTAATTTTTCAAAAATATTTACACACAAGAAAGATTGACGTTTGATGACATTACTCAGGTGCTAAGATTAGGACTTACATGAATGTGAAATGTAATTCGGCAGTCAATTAAACAAGTACTGTACATTTTCTTTACCTTTTACATAAGAAAAATTTCTAACAAATCATTATAACTGCACAGTCAGTGAACAGTTGCGATTTCGTTCTTTATTCATAAAAATTAATGTGTTTATTCAGCTTCACAGCTAAATATTTCACATTTGTTAATAACGTCATGAGCGCGCATTTCATAACATTCCAAAGAATTTCAAATTTAAACAAAGAGAATGCGAAGTAACTAATTTCCAATTCGGTAGCTGTTTGTTTATGTTTTGACACCAGTTTAATGTTATCACCGACGGAGTCGTCAATATCTGACCATAAATTAGCCAAGTCGAATTGATTTTCACGGAAAATTGAAACATAAATTTAATTTTGACACATTGAACTAACCACCTGTTAAAGCGCAATCTTGTTTTGTATCATACGAACCTTTTGACGCTGAGATATCATTATTCTGGTGTAAGTGTTTGGCAGAGAATTATGATCAACATGGTAGTTGATATTTTCACCCCAAACATTTGTTGAAAGAGCTAAAGAAAAAGCTAGGATTAAAGCGTTTAAACTATTATTAGGTGCAATCTCTGTAATGAAGATATTTAGGAACTATAATCACAAGTATCTCTTAGCATTTTGTTTTTGATTACTCAATGATGACATCTGGTTCACATGAATTCAAAATAATTCTTTAACGATGACAACATGAATAATAAAACAATTAAAAATATTTACTGTTTTTTTTTTTAAATATAAACATACACATAATCGTTGTATGCCCAATTGTGTGTAATTCACTTCATTCCTTTTCACGATTTGGGTTGGCGGTTTTTTATTTAAAATTATTCGCGTTTTGTAGTTAAAGCCGATACAACATTCACCACTCATTTTTGTCAGGTTCATAGAATTTTGTGGAAAGTTTCAAGTTTATCTCTTCTTCGTATTTTACCAATTCAGAAGCAAAATTGACCTAAGAACCTTAGATTTTATCACGAATGACATCGAAGTTGAGACAACAAGCTCAGATACAAATCTTTGTGTCGTCTGAGAGCCGTGGAAAAATCCAATTTATCTTCTACGCCACAGAATTAGATTTTTGATTGAACTTTGACATGCGGGATTAAGATAATATAGTTGTCGAAAAATTGTAACGAGGCCGGGTTCATGCAAATATCTGACCGAAATATGCGACACAGAACAATAAAATGTTCCCGAGGTTTTAGATCTCCATGTTGTATAAGTGTCATTGTGCCAAATATGAAAATTTTTGTTATATACAAAAAATTTTCTTTCCTTTGTCATGGAAAAAGCAATTACAGATTCAAAACAAATCTACAGTTGCAGCGCCGTAAACGAGGAATTGATGGTTCAGCTTCACATATAAATTTTAATCGGAAGAGAGAGCTTGTCGTGAACTGTATACTAAATTATTTGCCACTATAACAATTTTGCACCACATAATACATAGCGGTAAATAAAGTGTTTGACGACAAATTCCAAGCAAATCGGTAAGATATATTCGTGCACTCAAAGATCTAAGTATTCAAAAATTTTGGAATCTGCGATCAGAACGACGATTGAATATTGATAGGTTGTAACGCGCCGCAAACACATCACCTGGAATGAATAATTTCAATTTCTACATACATTGTGGAATGATAGCAAGATTTTTAAAACTTAATAATAAGAATTACATAATTATGACTGAATCATCGAATAAAATATTGCGAAAACGCCGAACAATGTGCAAAATGAAAAAAACTTCCATTGAAATTTAACGGTCCATCATCTTTTTTATTTTAATTAAGTACCCAAAGTTAGAACTAGTATGTGACTAAATGCAACGAAAGTAGGTTTAATCATATTATAACTTTGTTACGCCCAGGCTAAATATTTTTTTAAAAAGTACAAAAACTTCTCTGCCCATATATATACTGTATTCTACAACGCGGATGACGACTAAGTTATATATTGATTGCGAAACTAAACCGGATAGCATTTGCGTAATCAATACCGCTGGGAGGAAATATTTTGCCATTCCAAGACTTAACTTTGATTTCGAAACGTTTCTCGCCACTGCTGTGGGGAAGATTTGGTGACAATTATAGACGCTTCTTTGTCAATTCAAATATGATTTAATAAAGGAAATGTGACATCATTGGTAGCCTCATTTGTAAAATATTTTTATTAAGTTTATTTTTTATAATAAATCATATAACCCGCAAGAAATGATAGGTATTTGATAATGAGACTACTCAAATACTCTCGACCCCAGTAACGACGTTGCTCATCTTTTCTTATTTAACATGACGATCTTTATATCAGTAACACTCGAAAAATTAGAAGTATCTTCTTTATTAAAGCTCACATGATTTATATAGAACGAGACAGTTATGTAAACAGTGATAAAGGATTGTCATTTGATCGGTATTTAATATTTTGCGCTTGTATGAGGTAGTTCCAGGAATGTCGTTCGTTCAACAAACTCCATTATTACCGAAACCGCAATTATTTAAAAATACATAAACCGTAATATACCAGACAAAACGCAAATTCCACTCCAATAACTGAAAAACCTCGGATTTCTGATTTCGATTATGCATATGTGAATACGTATATATGTATTAGATTGTCCAAATAGCGTGATGTGAATTGTTTTACTGCTCAAATAAAGTTTATTAGACAATGTGAAGAGAAACACGAAATATTTGAAATGCAGGATAGCAAGGACATCGATACCATACCTCATACACATCTCTTTTCCCGTTTGTTATTTGCAGCCCAGTGAACAGACAGTCATTCAGTAAATTCTAGATAATGAGCGAATGTGAATTGCATGAAAACAGAGCGTTTGGCACGTTTAAGAGCCCGTTAATATTAATAAAACAAATATTTTCAGGGCGTTTATTTGTCTGTCCTCGTCATGATTTTACCATTGTATTTTACATTTGTACCCTTTGATTTCATTCGGGACATTTCCGTTGCTGGATTTAAAAGAAAGTGAGCAAAAGAAAACACTATAAATTGTAAATCTACAGAGAGACAGTTGCTGTAATGGTTTTACAATCTTAAGCTAATATATTATATAGTAACCTATTTTAGTATAAACTTGGGTTACGCAATGTTGTTGTCTCTGGACAATTTCGTAATCTCTTTATTTATCAAATTATCTCATATTTTATATTACTTCAAATTCTACGAATTTGATATTACTCGAAAACCACATTTTCAAAAAACTTGTCATAAATATGTTCATAATTGCCAAAATTACACCCCAAGAATCATGATTCGATACAGGCTAATACGTTATTAATCAAACATGAACCAAAGTAAGTATGGTCCATGTTTGCAGCTGAGATAAGTACAGTATTAAGTATTTGTCCTTTTCTCGTGTTTACGATAAACTTTTTGAGCAATGTATAGTTAATAGGGATAATTATATAAATTGCCACTTCACGTTTTTCAACTAAACGGGAATTTTGAATAAGAGTACAAATTAAATCACAGTTTTCATAAAAGTTGCCACATTAACTCTGAATAAACACATGTTAGACGATGATACGAGTCGGATGAAAACTAGTGATGTCATGTTCGCTTCAAAACGAGAAAAAAATGAGCGATCGCGGTATTATTGCTCATATCGAGAGTGAAGAGTATTGAAAATGTATTTTAACAATTTTATAAGACGACGTAGCGAATTCTCGAAACGAAAATGCATTTTTCTCGATTCCGACGGTTATATAAATACAAGTGAGCGCTCTCGAAAAGCACAGTCGACGGCAATGTCTACCGTCGTTTGGTGCGGAAAGGTCGTGTTGTTTGTCGACAGTTGCCAGTTGATGAGAATCATAGCGCCCGGAATGAGGTTACTAGAACTGAAAATGTGAAAAATTTGTCGGGTTCAAGAAACTGCCTCATGTCTTGCTCTAACTATATTTGGATTCTATCACTATTGTGCGATTAGGGACGTTGATGCTTACAAGAATAAGTACCATAGTAAATCTATTCGGCTAAATCTCAAGCTCAAGATGCGCTTTTCTAGGTAATTATTAATTAACAATTTAAAATTTCTCCGAGAATTTTTCAAAATAGTTTAGTGAAAGGATGAATACAGATAATGTGGGATAGCTCCCCATGAAACCCACCATCATGTTTTCTTCAATATGCACATAGATTAGTACTGGTATTGGTGCATTCCTGAATGAGATAATCGGCAGATCTAATATTGGATGAAAAATAAATTATATAAAATAACATTTAACGTCAATCTATTGAATTACGCTAAATTTTGATTGCGCACAAGGCAGACATCAGGATTGTACATTGCAATGCTTTAAATTTATTTAAAATAATCTTAATCTTTGTTATTCATTGGCCTACATTTTTAGGCTGCGAGAGACGTTTTGAGTGTAAATATTTCACCGGCTTCAATTTTAACGTGGATATCGAAAATTTTATTTGCGCGTGAAGATCACTCGAAAAAATCACAAATTTGTTTCGCCTTTCATGTGTCATTGAAAGATTTCCAAGTATCTTGACATATAGGCGACTGTTTTACAAATAGCTGTAATTTTATTTCGTGAAATTTGAGAAATGCGGGTGTAACGATATCCCCTTACATTATTACCAAAATTATCTTATTATTTTCACAGTTGTTAGTCAACTTAAGTTTGATAAACCTCAATTATCTACGTACGACAAGCTTTCGCATATTATTGGCTTATTGACACGAGTCTATTTAGAAATCAGGCGTGAAAATTGTGGCTTTATTTTGTTCAAAGTCAACACTACATCTACGAATTGAGGTACTTTTTCACACCAAGGTGTTTGTATTGAACTTTGAACTGAACACTTCGCGTCAAAATGAGGATTTTATTCGGATTAAACGTATTTGTGTATTTGATGGCGTATTTCCTCGTTGAAGCTCAACCAGATGAACCTGCAACACAAGCGGATGAATATGAAGTATTCGAGGACGAACTGGGAAATGAATCCGAAAGAGATTTTTATCCAACGGTAAATTGATTTTTGAATTAGTGAAAAACGTGAAACAGATTTTAAGTGTGTTTAGTCAGTAATTCTAGTGTGACTGACAGCGGGTATGATTACGTTTGAGCAATATTACATTTAATTTTCTACATTGATAATTTCATTTTCCCGTATGACAACAGTTCCATTTATGAATATGACATAAAATTTTTATTTATCATCGCATACAATGAGATGACTTAATTTTGTAATTTTAGAACATTTAATAACTGCAAAATCGATGATTTACAGGCATTTCAAGTAATTGGTTACGCGTAAAGATGAAATTCTCATTTGTATGTAAAAAAAAACTTGTTTGATGATTAAAACAACACAAACAAATCACAAACATAATTACAATAATAATAATCAGGACTTTCCTCCAAAGCCATTATAATGATTCACACCAAAGAAGTCGTAAGTTATTTGAAAATATTATAAACCAATACTAATATTCTTCATATTCGACACTCTTTTGTTGTTGCTTTGAATAACTTAAAACAAATTTACGAATTGGTCTATATCATGGAGACTTAAGACCCAAATTTCATTTATCCGCAAAAACTGGCAAAAACTATATTTTTCATTTTAGTTATTTACTATTCATTCAGTTTTTGAAAATTTCTACATTGTGATTGAGCCCGAAATGCACGCAATAACAATTTGAGCTTTCAATACCATATTTCAGCGTTTCGGGGTCGAAGTTTATATATTCAATTTAGGTAAAAGTTTTGAGGTTGTCAGACTGACGAAGATAACCTACAGTCTATATTACCCAAAATTATATTATTTGAAATTTGATTTTGTCGTCTAAATCTTTTGTAAATTAAATTTAGTCACTACTAAAAAACGTAAAAAAATATCTAAAAATTTCATCCAGTAAATGAAATAAGTGCACTTTTGGCCTCAGAGAGGAGTAGTCAGATTACTTAATTTTACCCAGTGAATACCATTCAAAGTTCACATATGCCACTTTATTTTACATTATTGCTTAAACAAAGTCATCTGCTCTTTGTCCAAATTAGTCTGAATTTTCATGACTCACGACAATATAAATACGAATATCAAGTTAGGGAGTAATTTTCGGCTCTCTATGGATTTCCCAATTCTGTGCGACATAGCACGGTACAAGGTTCAGTCTAGACATTAATACCCGGGAGATTGCAAAAATCGATTAATGGTGTGCAAATTTTGACGTTGAAAATACGCTCGTTGATTTTATTGCAATGTGATAATGGTTCTAAAAGTAAAAAACTAGCTTTTCGTATCGTATATTATGTACATAATTTCCCTATTCATATCGCGTTATCCGCTCCATGGAGAGTGAAATTGAATTATGAGACGCTACGGGGAAAACTGGATATTTTATAAAATAAATTTAGCCAAGTCTTAGTATTATTGATCAACGATTGTGTAATTTTGTCATGGGAACTTTCGTGGTCATCTGATACAATTCGTTTTTTATTTTAATTTTCACAAGTTAATAGTATATTGAGTTTAAATTTATAGCTAACGATTTTATCACTCATGTGGTGTGCTTGAATACGCATTATATATTTATTATAAATTTCACCCTTACCTCGGTACAGGAGAAGAAGCACGGCTTGTGTAGAGAATGTTCTTGCCCGCCAACCCCACGATGCGAACCCGGTGTCAGCTTGATCACAGACGGATGCGGTTGTTGCAAAATATGTGCCGGACAACTGGGAGAAAAATGCAATCGACGCAGAGTTTGCGATCACCACAAGGGTCTACATTGTGATGAAAATACAGGGACATGCAAAGGTATTAAATTTATCCAATTTAAACAATTGATCGGTCAATTCAGACTCGATATATAGTCTTCATGAAAATACGAAATGCTGGTGCTAAGTTCATGTCTGTATTTCTCTAGCTCGTCCTGGTAGATCATGTCACGTGGCCAACAAATGGTATGCGAATGGGGCTCTGTTTTCACCTACTTGTCGAATCACTTGCTCGTGTATTGATGGGGATCTTGGCTGTGTATCTAAATGTAAACCAGCACCACCAAGCTGTGCATATCCAAGGTAATTTGAATTTGTGTGCCAGAGTGGAACTATCATGAACGTATGAGCAACGAATATCTAGTGCATTTACGAAAAAAAAACAATAATTCGTATCAAAGGCATTGCAAAGATGAGATACATCAAAAAACGTCTTTTTAAAATAAGTGTGTAAATATTTCCGCCTCTACACTATGATTGGTGCATTTGATGATACAAAATAACAGGGCATTAGTAAAATAAAAATAAAACGCTTCGTCTTCAATAAAAAAGTAAAGCAATACATCTCGAATTAAGCAGATGTCTTGAATTGCTTAATCGTTCAAATTTCGAGCATTCAATTACGAAATCCTCTATTGCCTTGAATTCCATTTATTTGTTAGGACGATTGAATGACGTTGGTGGCGTCAACGTCGCGTCACGGGTGACACAAATTGAAGCACCCTCCTAAAATGATTTTTACACTTTCTTTGGGTCGTGCCTCAACTGTGGCTTACAGTTGAACCGGGTATAAAATGCAAGGTTCATCCATGTTACACACTTGAAAAATTTAACCCCTTTTACGAGGAGGGCAAGTATTTATTGAAAACACATTAGCTTAAGAGGGTGGCATTTCGGGTCTCTATTTACTCGAGGAAAAATGTTACATTTGAATTGTACAAAAGGGACCGTTTAGACATTGATTTCTACCGGCAATAAAGAGAGAATAAATTTGTCAACATGGATTTTACGGATAATCCAATAAGCCACATGAATATATCTCACGCGATCATAAAAGTGTGGAAACTTATCCTATAATCACCAGCTAAACGATTCGGGAATTTGACTAAGTACCCGAGTTATAATGCTAAAATAATGTATCGTATTCCATGCTGATTCGCTATTAGTCTTAAAATCATCTATTCGTACTCGCACAAATGAGGCAAACATACATACTTGCCTAGTACAATTAACCATAAACACAAAAATAACACAATCTATTGAACGCAATGTTGACACAAGATCACAATTTTATGGAAGAACGTACTTTTTCAATATAAATAATAATAAAAATTGTTGTGCGACTGAGCGTGCGTTATCTTTTTCAGTAGCTATGAGTCTGACTGCTTAGTTTCTGAAATATATCATAAAAAAATCATGCTCTTCACTAGCTCCTTTTGAAACTGAAAGAGAAAGAGAGGTAGGAGAGAAGTTTTGATCCGTGAATATATCACAACCAAAAGAGATAGGGTAATTCCAAACGTGATTTACACCGTATCAGTAAGAATATAATATTTTTCAAGTAGTGCATATACAAAAAAGCAAGCACCATTTTAATGAAACACGTCAGCACGATCTGGTCATAATTTTCCCGTCTATGATTTGTTCTACTTTAAGTTATCCATAAACCACATCAACTCAGCTGTCATTCGGTTTTCCAACGGAGCTGAATTAACAATTAACGTTTTTACTTGATTTCAAGTTCATTATGTTATATAGCAATTATCGTTCAAAAACTACTATAATGTTCATATCTAACAAGAAAACATTCATTAAAATCTTCAGGTTTTGCTTAATCCAACTGTGCCTCAATTTGACGTGACTTTTTTTTATTTTTAGATTGATTCGATCATCAGGTAATTGTTGTGGACACTGGAGATGCTCGAGTCACCCAACCGAAGCCGGTAAATAATAAACGATAATATAGTTATTAAAAATTTCACCATCATTTGTTTAATATAATAAGGTTTTATCGTTGAATTTGAGAATTCGTGTAACCTTTGACAATACAATTCTATCGCGGTAGATAAACTGTCGAATTTCGTTATATTGACATTATTATACTTTTGCGACGAATGGTCAAACATCGGGATTGCCGCACAAAAGACTATTGAAGCAATAAAAGCATTTTTAAGTATTTAATGCGACCAACAATTGACATATGGTGGCCTCTAAACCCGACGACGCTTGTTCGTCATCAAATGTGTTTTATTGGTGGAACGGAAGTATCGGTGGTTCTTGTACGGCATAGTATAAAATTAAAAGGCGTAAAACGACAGACCCACTGAACCCAACATGGCATCAATTTAATTTGCAAACAATTCAACAAATCCAAATAATGACACATATTTTAGACCAATAAATGATAATTAAGTAAATAAAATGTAGACTCGTTGTTTTGACACCGACTTTAATATAAATGACTCGGAACATGTACCTGGACCCGGAAAACCTCCACTATCAAGGTTTCAGATGTACCGCTGTTTTTTTTCAAGACACCCAACGTGCTATGATGATCCGTATAATATCGATGCTACGATATGAGCTTCCATGTATTTTTTTCACACCATAAGTACATATTTGCAAGTATGTTCTCTGATACTAAAATTTTGATATTAATATAGGTATGCGATGATAAGCGAACTAAATGCCTTTGTTCTCGCCTCTCATGTACCGACACACATATCTTAAGCTAACATAGAAGAGTATTTCTGTACCAGGCATAAATGTGTTATATTGAGTTAATTAAACCGTTAACGCAACTCAACTACTTTATTGCCCTATTTTCCACAACTTATTCAAGCGCCAACCATATATATTCATTCCTAACATGTCTATGTGTTAGAAATAAACATCTTGAAGGAATAATTCACGTTTTTCTTTAGCGCTATTGTTTTTTCTTCTTTATTTGCGGAAGTATAGTACAGCTATGGGCAACTTTGTGAAGGTCGAATACGACTTACGCACGAGCGTCGTGCTACCATGCGTAATATATACGTACTTCGAGCATTTAATAATTCGCAGAACTGCCTCCGCGGTGTGCGTAGATTCAGTAGCAAGTTTGAGAAAATAGAAATAATTGTCACTTCTTACCCGCGCGTAGGTTGTTATTCTGGTCACACAATAAGGAATAGGTGACAATCCAGTAGAAATTTGCGGTTTTGGATAAAAAGCATCATTGCTAATTTTTGTCTAGAAAATTCGATCTGTAACAATATCGGATATGGCCCGTTTCTGTTGATGATTCCCTTAGGACTTGAGTAATCACACAAAACCCGGAAACTCTTTGATGAAGACTGATGTGATGACTTAAGTTTAGTCAGAGCGATAAGGTGCCAATCATAACGGAGAAAGTTGAAATTCTTAAACTTTAGATGCGCAGAATAAGTTTCGTCAAAAATCAATTAATTCGCAAATCGAGTAGGATATTTTTGTTAAATCACTTCTGAAAATAGAAGTGATTAGTAACAATTTTATTAATCCTATTAAACCCTATGAAGAAAAGTGTGACATCATTAGTTATAATTTTTACCCAGAATATCTTTTTCTTGAACGGAAGCTATTAATTAATTAGTCATGATTATATCTAAATATTCCAAAAAATCAACCAAATGTGTCGAAGTTTCCTAATAATAGAACAAAATATATTAAATTCATTGGTATTCGAGAAAAAATGGAGTGTACTATCGGAACCCATGTGATAGTGGATGCCAAAGTGGATTTTGTCTTTGATTTGAAAAATAAAGTTCATTGTCGTGAGTGTGACGAACTGGACAAATATATGTGTAATGGGCGGATGTATGCGGACTATCCTTAAAAATAATTCACAACTTGTACTTGATTAATTAACAAATATTTGAGATTTACACCCACTCCTGATGATTTCCTCTTATGTGTTAATTGTATAAAAACGCCCTTTGAGTAAACTATTACAGGGTTTATAAATAGGTCCCAGAAATCTTACATTGCTTAGAGGAATTATGGCAAAAACTGTTGCCGATCCTACTTATCGTCCAAGTATGTTGGTTCGGGAATATCTGGTGTTTGTAACCAAGAAGTTTGCCTACATTCTACTCCCCAATGTTCAACAATGATTCTGAATTCCGAGACAATTATTCAAGACACGCAGACCCAAAATAGCGCGCACGTCATCAAAACAACGATATTTTGTAATGTTGTTTTCTTTTCCGAAATTCGTCAACGGAGACAGTGACCCTAAAATCCGAGTTGTAATTCTAATAATTTCTCTCTTGAACTCATATATATGAAGATTCATTGTTACACGTTTTAATCACATATTCCCATGCCAAACTATCAAATCATTCATGTTGTATCTTGAACCGACCCAAAATTTAAAAACACGTGATGTATCACTTCATACCGTTTTGGACTTTCTAACCAACCGTGGATAATCTGAAATGACTATATAAAATGTAGGATGTTTTGGGGTGAAACAAATTCCCCATACTTTTTATTGTTGTGCAATTTTACGATTCTCTATATAAAGAACTTAATATGACAAGACGAGGTTTTTAGTATATAGTATGAGTAAACATTCATTAATGGGCTAAACACGTACGCCGCCCAGAACGTTACGTAGGGGAGTATTCACTCTCGTTTAGCTCAATTAGAAGAAAGTAGAATCAAGTATAGAGTATAATCAAGTCAGACCTTTCACGCCGGGCAGTAGTTTTTTGCAATTATTCTGATACGACGAATTCCTTGTTCTAAACTAGAAATCTTGTCAATTCTGCTCTACCCTATATTGATATTATTCAATTCCTTTTACTAAAATATGACTGGAATGCTTACTTCAAATCACATAATCATTTCTTGTTGAATTTGCCCTCGAAATTGGAAAATTGTTACAAACAATCTAAATTCCATTCAGAATGACAGACCTCTTGGTGCCATGTGCCACACAAGTCATTAAAATAGCGCAAAAATATATACAACTTTATCTCAAATTATTTTTTAAGATATATATAATTTTAAAGAAATTGGCACGAGTAGCAGATAATTACAGTATTCGTTATGATGATTTAAGGTCGAAGATATAATATCAAGTTGAAAAATTTATTTACTATACAAATTTGCATATTTGCATTCAAAACGCACAGTTTGTTCATATTGACTTTGATGACGTGTTCGAATGGGGTTTACTGGAATAATTGAACTGCACCGCCAAGATTCACTTAAAAATTAGTGTCAAGTGAATATGTTTGCTAAAGAAAAATTAAAGTTAAAAATCACAATATAACAATATCAATGAAACAATTTTTTAACCAAATTACTAAACAGGTATTTGAAAACAAAATTGGTAGTCAAACTCCTCTCACACTCGATCGCCTTAAACGAGCATGCCCGAAATATTTTGAATGAAACAAAATATATTTCGGCAAATTTTATCCAGAGAATGGTCACGAAGATTGTAATGATACATGCTAATTTGTGAGAGATAATATTTTGATAAATTATAAAATTACGATAGATCTAACTCGATCTTTGGATAGAGTGAGCATTTCACTGATACATTATATGTGATCTAGCATAACAATATTGGTTTAAAAATAGGTAAAGCAAAAAAAAATATCTCTGAACAACATTTGTCGTTCTTTTGGAAATAATTGACTCCAATAGCGTGACAGCCCGTGGGAATTCTAATACCAAGATTTTTACCAAAATGAAATTTTAAGCTCAAACCTATTGAAATATAAATTTCGCAGCGCACAACATTCGCTACAGAAGACAACCAGACTCTCTAGCGTGGCATAATTTGTTCATTGCTTAGGTGGAAAAGTGACTAAACTAACAACACTCTCTATTGCATATACATAAATTAATTCTTAATTATTTTTAATTAAATTAATTCTTTTCAGTCTACCAATAAAAGGCACAATGCTTTTGAATTATTTTTGTGGGATTTATGAATTGATTAAGACATATACACTCATCTCCAAATTTGTTAAATCGGAAACACGGGTTACGTGAACAAATTTATTGTCTGTTTTGACCAAAATAAAAGCAGTTTACGTTTCGCAGAATAAAATTACAAATTTGACATAAACAAGTAAAAAGATGCGTCATTTTGAACTGATACTTCCCGTTTACTTACTAAATATAGATCTTGGATTGCGGAAATTGTATCGCGCATTCCGCACGGTTTGGTACGAAATTAAAATGCATTCGGAAACCAAACAAAGTCTGTTTGCTAAATTGTAAGCGTTGTGACAGTTTAAAACAACGATACATGGATTTGTGTAAAATTTCTGTTCAAAATTGTTACATAGACGTAATTCTCCAGAATGATAAGTTCTTGATAAGGTTCATATTTATACTCGCGTTTTCTGTGATGTCCAACGACCGTAAAAAAAAAAAAAAATCGCGTATACGACTGTATTTGAGTCGCACATCAAGTTACCGAATAGCTGTTTAAAGTTTTACAATATTTTCACTTCTTCTTCTATTTCACTTCTCTGAAATATAGGCTTCATTAAATGAAAATATTTTGATAAATAAATTTTGGTATATGACAAATGACAAACGATCACCTTATATTTTTATCTTTATCCTATGAAGTTTGTTACACAACACATATTCCTAAAAAAAATTCTCAGTTTTGTCACCTTTCGAAATCTCCACTTAATTGCCATATAAACAATTCCAAGTACCCCAATTATACAGTTTAATTGCAGGTATTAACCCATTTTGTGAACAAATCCAAAACATGCTGAGTAATCAGAATATTAAAGTAAAAAATGTTTTCATTTAACAAACTTTGTAATTTTGTCTTTCAGCGAGGGGAGGGAAAACTTCGGCTATTTTTAGTCCCGCGACATCATGCATGATTCAAACGACTGAATGGTCACCATGCACAAAAACATGTGGATTTGGAGTCAGCGAGCGAATTACAAACGACAACGATAAATGTAAATTAACTAAAGAAACAAGACTTTGCATCGTGAGACCGTGTAAGGGGAACACATCTCCGAGAAAGGTAAAAAAGATCTTTCAATTCTACATTTTGCCAGGCACATAGTGTTGACCGATCGATGGTATAAAATCTGTTATTTTCCTTTTACAGCCCAAAAGATCCTGCCGCAAAACTCTACGTCATAGCAAGCGTGTTCGATATTCTATCAGTGGGTGCTTAACGACGAAGTCATACAGACCGCGATATTGTGGAACATGCAGACATTCTGGTAAATGCTGCAAACCGCAAATGACCAAAACCGTTGAAATGGACTTTCGCTGTGAAAACAATCCGCTTTCTGTCGTCAAATCACCTTCTAATACCTACATAATGAAGCGAAAAATGATGGTTATTCTCAGTTGCGTGTGTGGTGACTACTGTATCAACAATGAAAACGAAATTTTTTCAAACTCAATTCGTGCTCTCAGGGGTGATATTGATAGAACAATATGACCAAATTAATGCTGGAAGCGTAATTTCACATAAAATAGCTAGGCAACTTTGAGCTAGCTGATCATCTTTCCCAACCGGGAAGAGAGCATTGGCAATGTCTGTGAAACCTCAAAATTCAACCACCGGTCGTTCATTGCTCTTGAAGGGGTACTCCCGCAGCGTGTGTACCAGGGGTTAGATCATAATTTTATTCCGATTTTCCTTATTTTAGTTTTATTACAGGTTCGGGGAATGTCTGTGTTAGCCAAGTGAATATACCCCCTGCTCATAGGCTTCCGTCCCTTTACACAACTTGATGTAAAGTAGGCGAACAAAATTAGTTACCTCCATATTGATACACACACTTCTGGAGCGCCTTGAAAGCATGTAATATCCCAACTTGTTGCTTGGAAATCAAATTCAAGCTTATGGCCTGCCTAATACGCGTACACAATTGAGGCTCTCTCTAAATTATATTGTCACTCGGTTTGGAAATATGTGGTTCTTCTAGGTTCCACAAACAGGTTCCCAAATAATTAATTTCCAAATTAAGCAAAAACAAATCTAAATATTTATTAACAAAAATATTTACTGAAAAATAAGCACTCTCTATGAGTAGATAATAAATTGCGAGAGTGTCCATGTTTTTACATTCTTTGTTGTACTTCGTGTTTGACTAACATCAGGCAGGTATCAAATGTCGGAGGTCATTGAACACATTTTATGGAACAGTTTTTTAATATTTTTCTATTCACTGTCACGACAAGTCTACATATATTTTTCGTATACCGACGAAAGTATCATCGTAATATTATTTTTATTATTGTTAGCATATTTCTCATTCTTACTGTCATTTTTAAATTATTTTCTTCCATTTTTACTGCGCTTTCTTTATTTAATTATTTTAACTAATTATTATTTTGCAAAATAAATCGTATTAAAACAAAATAAAACTGAACATCGTGCCTTTTTATGGCTTTTAGAGAATGTACGACATTACCGTGGTATTACTATTTCATGTGAGGTATGTAAAATATAAAATGTCAGTCAACAGAATACGCAGAAAGATTAATAATAAAATGTATGGATACATAAATTTCCTCCCACGAACCTCCCCCAATCTAGTATACCAATTGTTACACATTAGAGAAGAGGTAACCAGACCAGTTAATGAACCTGCCTTCTTCAAACACTAAATCTAGTACTTGGCATGAACAAAACTCATTCTTACCGGCTCTGTCAACTTGGTAATCGAACGTTCCATTCCAATTCGTCAATACCCCTCGACGCATAACATACAGTGCGAAATACCATTGAGTTTTGTTATTGTTTTCAGAATGATTAGTTCTCGATTAATTATTAATGAATTAATTAACAGTAATAATCACTTTAGCCAGGTTGTAATATTAAGCAGCAATTGCCCAGCATTTCTTCGGGCTTTCTAGTTTTCAAGTGAGATCAACCGGGAAATTTTAAGAAAGCAGTCGTCGAAAGAGTACACGCATAATGCAGTAAAATTTAGGGCAACCAAAAGACACATGAAAGTACAAGTACTACGTAATATAGGCATATATGTGCGATATCAATATGAGATTTACCAGATTATTTCAATTGAAAAGTATTGAACTTTAGACAGACGATGTGCAAAGGCGTAGATAGCGATCTCAATGTAAAAGTAAGCCCTGAAAAGGTGATAAGCATTTGCAGAATTGTTGTCAAGCGGGCCCTTGCCCACATGACACTTGCTTTTATTTAAATTTTACAGTCAGTGACCCCGACCATTGTGAATACGTAGTAGGTGTGTGATTATCACCTGACCATTACACGAAGTTGTCACAAAACTATAAGCTTCTAAGGGAAGAAATATTATGCTAGGATCAAGAAATCAAATAGAATCATAGTTCACAGGAAAATGTTTACTTCCGAATTCCGGATCATTGTCTAGTCATTTGAAGTTTGTTGAATCCCTTTATGATACCAAACAGTAAGATAAACGTTTATGTTTACCTAATAATCTACCGTTTTACAATAATTTTTGTGCAGCTGGGGTTAAGGCCACAAACCGTGGCAAGTGGGCACACATAAGTCATGTGGACGCCAAACGAACGAAACTTGCTTTGGCATCGCGGGGGTCTGTATATATTATTCTTCTGTCAGAAATCTGACGGAATTTGAGAGGAAGCGTAAGAATTCGATATTGCTTCATATGAAATATTAAATTGAAACTAAATTTTAAACTTATCTCCCGCATTTGCCGTGTTTATCCAGGCGAACTGGATAAACACGTGTACACGTTAGTGTTCATAAGTGAAAATTTACTTATTATATCTTAATTATGCAGAGTATAATTAATTTCCGATTGGTTATGGCAGAAAAAAAAGACCTAAATAAGTTTTCAATTCACGACGGCCTTTTTCAAGTTGACGTTCAATTGGTTTGACACCTTACAATGATCAATTACATAGAGATAAGTGACATTATTGAAATCTTCAAATTTCACTACCTTCTTATAATACGATATTTTTCTTCATCTTCAAATTGTTGAATATCTTAATACAATAAAAGTCAAATATAATTTATATTTTATTTTAATTCCGAGTCAATTCTTCTTTTTCATTTAAAACCAACTTACTTAAAATGGTTTTAACAACGTTAAATGGTAAAAATTTTCCTATACAAAAAGTCATATACAAGCAAGGTAGTTTGAAATGGATCTATATTCGTTTAATTTCATTCAATCCATGCAATGATCTCACCTCAGGTTGAACAAAAAATACTTCAAATAAAAAATTCATTAATTCTACTTTCAAAGTTCCTTATTTGTTTTCTCGATTGACGTCGATTTTTTTTTGAATAATTTGAAGATTGCTACTTCTTAGCTTTTCAAATATTTGCCCGGGTTGGGGATTTTCAGGCCTTTCTTGTAAATTATTGAATATTGTAATTTACGTCATTATCGACGTAATTCATTTCGTAGAAACACATATTCAGCGGCTGAGTCTACAGGTAAGGAATTTTGAGGTGACGTTGTATATAGATGTGTTTATATTTCTCGTCCATGGAAATTATTCTATTTTGACTCATCTTATCGATGGTTCACATATGGTCGCATATAAAAAAAATTTTTTTTTTTACAATTGATTATAGTCACCCTTGTTCATGTATGATTTACAACAGTAATCAATAAACCTCAAAAATGTGGGATACAATCATTTTCAAGAAAATATATTAAACCAACTTCTTGGCACACTGCTATCCAGCTGACCAAAGCTTCGAATACTTTATCCAGATTCCACGTTGGTACATAAAGAATTTCAAAATTGTGGAATGAGAATTAGATTGTCTCAGCTTAGTTTAAATATACGTATGGAATTTGAAAAATTGATGTAAGGTAAATAAATTCCTGGTGTACGAAATTGTTATGTATTCATAACGATTGTTTGCTTTCTTGTTGACGAAAGCGTCGAGTACCATCGATGTATAATAAAAACGAGATTAGTTTTGCAAACAACCAGGAATGCTGGATATGAGAATTATAGTCTTAATCGAAAAGCAATGATCCTATGATAATCCAATGATGATGTTTGTTTAGGTTTTTGTTTTGTGCATTATTGCAAATATTATATACCACTTGCAGTCTCTTTTCTCATTCTCCTCTTTTGAGTGGCATTGTGAATCATGCTAAAACGCTACATCGATTTTCAGCGCGATTCCAACTACACATTCTACACTTTAGTGTATAATTGAATTTTGAATGATTCAGCAAATTATATTTCTCACTGATTATACAAAATGAGGAGAATGACTTCTTGAAGCCTCCGTAGTTTATTTTGCGAGGATTAGAGCACTTATCATTAAAGCCTGCTTTGCAAACAAACGATACAATTTTGCGGTATCATGCGAGATCTCAGAAACTATTTTTAAACGATATAAAAGGAAGGGAACTGCGCAACAATGTCTTTTAGTTAAAGACCTGACATTAGACCAAGGTCATGGAAATGGCAAACCATAAATTGCAAATCTACCACCAAAAGTACTTGAATTAAATTCACGGTCAATTGGAGTTTCGCTAGGACATCGTATGTGGCAATATATACATCAATCATTCATGTATCATATACTTGAAGTATATTCGTGATTCGTGGATTGCGCGCTAACAAATATCGAGTTGGAATGTCTGTTCGGACTAAACTGGGGTCGTCCGATTTCGACAAATGGAAATCGCGTCTGATCGTGTCTGGTGTAAAGTCTAAGTCGAGTCAAAATGGTCGTGAAATCGACCTTTCTCAAGTGTACGCAGGTTTAATATAGTCCACTAAATGTGGAGATAATCCGAATCAAATCGCACCAGTGTATGCAAAGACCACGTATCTAGTGCATAAAGCCGCGAACACGAAATTGAAAAAAAAAAACAGATATATTCCTTTGTGAGTTTTTATAGTCGTATGACAAATCAAGCCATCTGCAACATTGGTTTATCCATCCTTATTTGAATATTTCCTGGCTGTAAGGTCTCACCGCGAACGACCCAGCACACCTGGCAAAACAAAATCAATATGTAGTTAAAACAACTCGTTTTTACAATACCTCGCAAACTTATCACTCGTTTGCGTTTAACATCCCTATTTTGTTGTAATTTCTTAAACGATTTATTTTAGCCTATCCTTGAAATAATTATAATTATTTATAAATTCCTGTTTATGTACTGAGTTTTATGACATTTCCTAAAAATACTATAATTTCATGTTTGACAAGCAACTATTATAAGTACTAATATAGGTAAGGCTTTATTTTTAGACAAACTACATGTCAAAGGTGTTATTTTCCCCCAAGTCCAGATGTGTAAAATTTTTTACATAATCGACAACCTGACGGAAAATAAGCACGAATGACTCGCACTAAAAAGTCACATGAAATGCTATCATTTACGAACATAATAATTGGAATACTTCGGATTTTTCCTGTTCAAGTTAGTCATTTTGGTATGACTTCAGATAAATAGCTGTTGAAAGTTTTGGAATTTTGTAAATTACTATTTTCTGCTTAAATAATTCGTTAGTTGGGGTTGGTAGAGGGGTAAAAATCACTTAACTACAGGGAAAATATAATCAACATGAAAATCCGTCATAATCGAGTAACAAACTAACTTACTGAATATTATTATATTATATTTGGGCAACCGAAAATTTTCCCACTTATATTTTGCCCATTATTGCGATTGTCATTCATCAAAATCGTATGATGGTTGTAATATATATATTTTCATATGCAATTGAATTGCGCTTCATCCAGTTGACCGATATGAAATTAATATAATGAAAAATCGCTCCCAGAATATACGAGTTAAAACGAAAAAAATGATTATTTTATACATATTTTAAAAATTGAAGAATTGCTTATGATCATTTTCAATGACAACATCGAATAATTAAAATCTAGCAGGCTTCCGATAGTGCTTTGTAGCAATTCAAAAGATAATTTTGTAGTATATGCCATTCACTTTGAATATTATGTGGTAACTGGTGATCTGGGTAGAGCGTTTTAATTTTTAGCTGTATGTTTAAGCGCACTGTCGGGGATATGAGGTGGATGATTAAAGGCAGGAAGGTTTGATTGTAATAGGAACAGAATTTGCAGCTTTGAATAAAATTATTTTATTACGTATGCTAAGAGGAATTTTTTAAAACACCATAAATACACAATTGTTTAATAATAACTACCGTATCCCACAGATCGATACAGACTCCCAGCGCATAAACTCCCCCACATAACCTACAGCCATGTCCAACACAATAGCAAGTTGGTTTATAGGCTTTTACAATCTTTTGCCGAATTTCAATCTTCATTTCAGTTGTGAAAACCGGACGAAAATTATTGATTGCGTGTTAATTCGCGCACGTCAAAAGTAGCAATTATTTCTATTTTGATATACGCTACTTATTTTAACACCTACGCATATGACGTAATATTACTTGGGACTGATTGTAACCAATCCCGTCTATGATTCACAAAGACACACATTATTAAAATAAGTATGTCCCGACATTTCAATGAAAGTATTTGAAATAAGTTATAAGGGACCCTACCATAAATATAAAAGTTTTTCCGCACAAAGGATTAGGAATTTGATTGTAAGTATGAGTCATGTTATATAGCTTGCACATCAAAGTTGAATTTTCAAAATTACATTTCTATATCATTTGTAGGATTGAACCGTATTGAATGAATGCAAAAATGTTATTTTTACTGCCACACACTTTCTTGAAACGGCAT